GGCAGTGAAGGACAGGAAAGCCTGGCGCAATATGGTTCATGGGGTCACGAAGAGTCGGACACGACTTAACGACTGAACAACAACAACGTTAATAATTTAATTGTTTCCATGTAATTCAAGATGGAAGCAAAAAGTGAATACCAACTTTGAAAAGGCTGCAGGTCACTCTCCTTTTTTATTTTAGTTGTCAGAGAAGCTGAGGGATATAGTGGGAAGGGCAAAAAGCCATGACTTCTAGGTGGCATGACTATTTTAGGTGGGCTAGGTATGGGAAGAGAGTGTCTGTTAGGCCTAAAAGGTTGTTTAAAAGTTTTCTTTAAAAATGTTCCCCCCCAACCCCGGTGGCATTATTTCTGGGGGCTTGAGTGCCAAGAAAGAAGGAAAAAAGAAAGACTCTAATTTTATAATACATAGCTTTCATTGATAAAAAATCACATCTGATTCTACTTCCTGGGGAGTTTCCTCTCTGGAGAAAACTGGAGACTAGATCCCCACTTATGACTTCTTATTTGGATTTTTTATAACAGCAGCACTCTGAAGGTGATATGTTGTCATTGATAAATAGTCATCTATTATGATAAATAGACATTTATCAAATTCTGTTCCAAAACACCAGGGAGTTAAAAGAAGCTGCACACTCTTCCACTTCTGTTTAATGTTTACATCAATGTCCTGGTGGGTTGCTTAGGCAACCTGAATTTTTATCCTCTTAGGGTGACAGGCAAGCATCTCTCTATCCTATTTTATGCAGCTAACCTGGTGATCCTGCCAAGGTCCCCACAGCTAGAAGAGCTTTGAATGCTCTGGTAAAGAAGATCAATTAAAGATCAATTATAGGAAAAGCCAAGGTCATAATCTTTCCAAAGAGACCAAACACTCACCCAAGGTGCATAAACTGGCTCAAAATCAAGCAAGTCCCACTTTATAAATATTTGGGATGGTTTCCCAGACATCTGATGGTAGAAGGGCTCATAGTACTTATGTGCTGTGCCCCACAAAGTGCTATTTACAAATTCTTCTGAACAAATAACCCTTTCTCAAGGGTTATGACCAAGCGAGACCACTTCTTAAGCAGCCTCGCATGGATGCAGAACAACAGACTGATTTAAGCAGCATCCCAATCACCTTTTATCCATAAATATAAAGTGCACCTGGATACTTGCTAAATGCCCTACACAGCTAACAGTCCCTGGCCACAGAAAAGCCTTTATTTAAACCCTTTAGTATTATTAGAGGAAAAATTAATAAAACTCCCATTAGAATGTTTATGCTCCTATGATCAGGGATTGGTAGAAACAATTAATCAAGCTTTTTGGTCATGACCATTTTATATTGATATCCATAGTGTCCTTATTTTTTCCAATTATGCCTTGATAGTAATTCTTTTAGAACATAAAGCTGCAAAGATTTGAGCAGGAGTGTGAAAGATCGCTATTAATATCTTTGGTGGTGTATAACTACTAAACTTTTTTCCACCTGTACAACAGTAGCTAAAATGGTCTTTGTTCTATTTTTAGTTGGCAGTTATAATACTGTTATCAATTTTATTTTAAATAACTGAAGCTGTCCTTCTAAATGGTATCTTTATTTTATGGTGGTGCCGATATTCTTATGTAATAACATTTTGGTGTTCACGTATGACCCAAAGATTGCTGACCGCTACTTTAAGTACTGTTACTGAAACCTTAAGTAACCAGTAGGCAATAAATTAAATAAGTTCTAGCCTTCTCTGTATCTATTATAATTGGATATATCAGCTAATCTGGATAAAGTAAGCATTAACTTCCTCGCTCCCCTTACAGAATTTGTGCTGTGGTTTACAGCATTATATTGACTCCCACCCATACTAACACTTACCTTAATGCCTTCCAACACCGGGGCTGTATCTTTCAAAATCTCTGACTGCAGGGTTAAATCCACTTTTGCCGGTTCTTGTTCAGCAGCAGCATCTATACTGCCTTTGTTCAGAGCTGAAGAATCCAGATCTACTACCACCTCCTTCAGGAACACAGGAAACACAACAATTAGATGCATTTTTAATAGGATTTTACATTTGAATTTGCACTTTGGAATTGCTAGATGAATGCATTGATTTTTAACAAATGTTCTTGGAAGAAGAATTCCAATGTCTTATTTCTCTTGCTCTCTTTATTTCATCTGGAGGATTTATATCCTGTCTTTCCTCCAGGAGCTCAATATGGCATCCATACCACTCCCTCCTCAAATTGATGCCTTATTTGCTCACCCTTTCCGCAACTTGAAGAGTCTCTTTGGCTTTTTCAGCTGCTTCGGAAAGTTTTTCCAACTCTTTCTCATGGTGTTCCTTCCTAATAGCTTCTTCTTCTTGAAGAGTTGCTTCCAATCTGGCTTTATTGTCAACTTTTTCTCCTTCCACTTCTGCTGCTTTCACCTGAGCTTCTTTTGCCTTTATTTGAAAAAAAAAAATCTATCAACATACAGAGACACAGAACTTTTCTATAGAATACTAAGACTTGTGCTTTCAGATCAACCAGCTAGTTCCTGCAATCTATAACACAGGAAACAACCCTATTTTCACTCAAGCACACATCATCATCTTCAACAGAGACCAACCAGAAGTCTTGAGAAGCCAACTAACAGGATGGAAAGAAAACTGTTCAGAAGAGGGAAACTGCAGTCCTCCATATGATATTGGACTGCAACACTTGTCACCTCCAAGGAAATTAAGAGGCAAAATATAAGAGTAATAAGATAAACATTCCAAATAGATTAAAAAGTCCATCGCAGTCTACAGGTATTGTTTTTTGTCAAATTACTGCTACAAATGTTGTAAAAAAAGAAATCACATTTACTTTTAAAATAAATCATAATACTAATTGGTGAACTTGGAGATAAGGACATCTAAACAAGTTGCAGAGGTAACAAATGAGTATGTTATCATTTATTTCAGATATCGCATAGAAAAGAGCAAGTTTTTGGACTGATTGTCAAAGTGAAAAATAATCTTTGTATGACCAATTAGACCAATTAACATGACAGCTTGTCAAGCCATATATTTAGCTCCCAAAGGGCTATCCTTCTGCTCCGTTAAATTACAAGACAAACAGGACTGTCATGACAAGCTAATCCTTCTTCCACCAACTATGTCTTGGTGTCCATGGTAAAGATATATGAACACCTCTTGAGGGACACAATCTGAACTTGTCTTTAACAATCAGGTTTTCACCAAACAGATAACATGAAAACTCCAAATTGACCAAAGGGTCACCATGAGCTTCAGTAAGAAGTCTAACATTATCAACAGTCAGATAAAGTGTGGATATGGAACGTAAAACATTTCCCCCAAATGTGTAAAACTTCTAATGCTAGAATTGTATTATAACAAACGCACCAACTGCTTCAAACACAACTCATGCATAGAAAAAAGCTGACCACATAAAGCAAGGCATACCACATTTTCAGGGAGTATTTGCAAGGTTGTTTTCAGCTGATCAGCTGGTGACAGAGTATCTGGAAGGTACAGAGCTCTGGATAATATAAGCAGTGAAGTTGGGATTTCTTGATTCAGATGCAAGTCTAACCACTGCAATCAAAAGTTAAAATATAAGAACACAGTACTGATTTTTCAGTTGTGGTTCTACTCATCAAGGGGTTGGAAGCAGAGCACCATACTAGGGCAATTATGAAACATTCCTTTAGAAGGCCTTCTTCAGGTGGAAGTTAGATCTTAGGTCTTCATACTGGCAATACTGTTTGCAAGTGGGGAACACAAAATGGGAGATTCAATAATTAAAAATAGAAATAGAAGTACTGCGTAATTTGCCTCAGAGCAACATCTCTTCTCAAGATGTTTTTGGATATCACAAGTTTGGGGCTAGAAAAGTATTAGCAGTAGCAATACACTACATAGTGCAAATAATACAGAAAATATACCCAGGAATGCCTGAAATATCAAGTCCAGGGTAACAAAAAGAATGACAATCTTGCTGTTCCATAGACAGAGCTCCAAGTTCTGAAAAACATAAGTTGCTAAGAATATCATGATCTTGAGTATTGTATTCTGCTTTTATAGATTTCACAAGCAAGAAGTGGAAAGTTTTAGTATTCGGTAAGAATTTCAAAAATTACTTGCAGAACTAATTTCTTTGATAAAATCTCCTTCCAGATTTATTCAAAGAATGAGAGTCAATATATATATATATATAGAGAGAGAGAAATTCTCAAGCAAAAGAGCCAGAACTAAGAGTACTAACTATTCTCTCTCAGATACTGCTTAAAAACCTGGGTGTCTGCAGAAACCAGGCCTCCCCCACCAAAGGCAGAAAGAGCAGGAATGCAGTGCATTTTTTTATTATGTTTTTTTCCTATTCTGATTTAAATAAGTTTGTGCCACCATATACAGTTCCCACTCCTGCTTCTCACTGTTCTCACAATAGTTCAAAATTAGGCCATTGATTTCAATCTTGAGTTAAAATTAGATCCAACACTATAACTACACTAGTGGTTTTTAGCAGAGGTTTCCTAGTTCTTGAGCCATTTTCTCTGAAGAAAAAAATCTGAGCACTTCTGTGCATACAGGTAGTTCTCACTTAATGACTGTTTGTTTAGTGACCATTTGAAGTTACAACAGTGCTAAAGTGACTTACGACCAGTACCCAAAATTACAACCACCACAGCACCTGACTGCAATCCAGGCGCTTGGCAACCAGCTTGTGTTTATGACAGTTGCAGTGTCCCAGGGTCACGTGATCGTCATTTGCGACCTTCCCAGCTGGCTTCCAGCAAACAAAATCAATGGGGAACCACATGATTCGCTTAATGACCATGTGATGCACTTAACGACCACCACAAAAAGATTGTAAAATCGGGTTCGGTCATGTGATTCACTTAATAACCCCATCGCTTAGTGACCTAAATTCCAGTCCCAATTGTGGTTCTTGAGGACTACCTATATTGTTCCCATCAGAGTCCAGTATGAGTTTGGCCTTGTAACAAAAACCTCTTGATAGTCCTAGCTTATCAATACCTGCTTCAGCTGTTCCTTTAAGCGTTCTTCTGTGACACCAAGCGCTCTCATACCTCTTGCTCGACAGGCTGCCTGTAATTCTTTTACTGTCAGGCTATCCACACCTTCCTCAGTTATCAGCTAAACAGGACAAAAGATCATTACATATCTATAGCATATAAAAATTGATTATCCAAATATTCAGACATAAGTAACTGTTATAATGAGTACAGCATAAAGAACCTTCACAAATCCTCTTTGCTGATATAAGGATTAGAGTTTTTATCATTTGATAAAATAGAAGCAATGTTAAAACAGTCTACGTAGAAGCCATGTTCACTGGAAATCACCCACATAAATAAATCACACTAAATGAATTACTTTTTTTAAGAACAAAGAACATAGAAGTGCAATATTGGCAATCTAAAGAGTTTATCAACTCAGAGAGTAAGGGATCAGAACTTCCCTGACCCCTTAGGATAGTGTTTCTCAAACTTTTTCAGGCCACAGAAATTGTTAACTTAAAAAAAAAAAATCTCAAAATAGTACCTGCTGGAAGCTGTCTTGACCAGGTGAAATTAGTTCTTTTATTCCTAAATTTCTCTCATACATCATGACTCTAAAATTAATTACATTTTCTTTTCCACAATACAGTTTCTTTAAATAAACCATAAACAAAAGATTCCCTTACTTTATCATCTGCTTTGATACTTCTCAGTCTCATTATTATTTGGAAGCGAAGAAAGTTGTTTGTTCCAATTGACTGAAGTTCTAACAGTTTACACAGAGCAACCAGCTGGGGTCTTGTAAGATTATCAAGAGTTAGTTCATCTTCAAACAGTTTAGAAAATCGTAAAATCTCTTCATTACTTGGTCTTTCACCAGTTTCACGTATCTGAAATTGTAAAACATATACTATAAAGTCTTAACACCGTTTCTAGAACTTTTACTCAGAAACGCAGGCATTTGCTTTGAGAAATGTTAATTACTGTATCGGATGTATCTATTGTTATGCACCTGGGAGCCTAGTGCTAAAATGTAACAACATACATTTAAATTGTAAGATAAATTGAATACCTTTTGAAAGAAAGTTGAGAAATCCTTAGTAGCATTGCCTTTAGCAGCTTTATTTTTTAAGGCAATCTCTTCAATAGTATCTTGAAGAAATTTTGCCACTTCAAGCTTTACTCTCAATTCTTTCTTCAACCTCTCTTCCTATTAAGAAAGAAAAACACTTTAATAGAAAGCTGGTCCAGATATGCATTAAAAATAATTTTCCTATTATGTCTGCTTTGTACACTATTAAACATCAGACCGAATACCACTCTATTTAAGCAACTCTCTCATACAAACCCTTCTAGCCCATGAACACAGACTTAAAAACAAGTCCAGCCGAATGAAACAGATTCATTCCCAATTAAGCACATAAGCTTGCAACTTTGCATATGCTGCAAGCTTACATGCTTAATTGGGAATGAATCCAAATGCTCTACAACTGTTTCATCAAGGTATTTTCTGAGCCCTCTCTCTAAAAATCAGTTCCTTCACATTTAACTATGCATGCAGTTAAGTTTCTTTAATACCTGTGTAAGGCACTCCACATGCATGTTTATGAAGTCAACTTCCCTCGCAGTCTAACCTGAAATTCTTACACTAAATTCTCCCCAGCAGACTATCGGCCTAACAAGTGCACAAACATTTACATTTAAACACAATAAATTCCCCTTAGGCCAACAAGCAGAATGTTTCCATGGATGCTCCATGACTGAAGGTTTTCAAACAAAGGTTGGACAATCATTTGTCTAGGATGGTCTGAGGATTTCTGCCTCCGGGCAGGGGGTTGGACTGGAAGATCTCCAAGGTTCCTTCCAACCCCATGATTCTATGCAAGTATCAATGTCTCTTGCTTTAGGCCTCCTAAAGCAGTTGGAACGCAACATTTTTTTTAAAAAAATCATTATTGGGTATACATAAAAAGTATAAATCAAAAATTCCCCAAAGCATACGTATTTACAAAACTAAACTAGTTTTATACATAATTTAATTTACTTACCAGTAAGAAACAAATAGGAAATTAAACATACAGTCATGTGAGAAAGAAAGTACACCCTCTTTGAGTTCTATGGTTTTACATATCAGGACATAATAAAAATCAT